GGGATTGAACCCAGGTCTGTTGCATTGCAGGCATATGCTTTACCATCTGAGCCACCAGGCAGGCCCAGTGCTCTCACCTGGACCACATGAAATTCAAAGTCAAGTGTTGATTAAATATATAAAAACAAATGGAAAAAAAGGAAGACGGATGTTGATGGAGAATCAAAAAACCAAGTGTGGGAGTCTGATCTTGTCTAGAGTGTGTGTAAAGAGGAGGTGAGGAAAGTCTCAAAACACTCAGAAGATTTGAATTAATAGCTGAAAGATGTGTGTGAGTAAAGGAAAATTGGAGAGGAAGGTGGGGAGACCAATTAGGAGGTTAGAGTGGGAATAGAGTTAAATTGAGAACCAAACAATCCAAGATACATTCATGAATCAGAAAGTCTTATTCAGCAATTATACTTAGGATGAGGTGGTTAGATAGCATCACTGACTCAACAGACATGAATCTGAGCAAACTTTGGGAGATAGTGAAGGATAGAGGAACCTGGCGGGCTACAGTCTATGGGGCTGCAAAGAGTGAGACCTGACTTAGCGACTGAACAACGGCATGTGAAAAGAAGATGCAAAATTTCTCCAGGATCTTTGGTTTTTGTTGCTGGAGAGTCAGCTAGGACAAACATCATAAATTTTACTTTTAGGTTGTCCATTTTATTGGCATATAGTTGCTTGTTGTCGTCTCTTATAATTCTTTTTGTTTCTGTAGCATCAGTTGTAACTTATTTTTCCTTTCTAATTTTATTGATTTGAATCCTCTCACTTTTTATCCTGATGAGTCTGCTAAAGGTTTATCGATTGTGTCCATCTTCTTGAAGAGCCACCTTTTAGTTTCATTGATCTTTACTGGTGTTTTCTTTTGCCTCTATTTCATTTTTTCCTGCCCTGATCTTTATGATTTCTTTCCTTCCACTAACTTTGAGTTTTGTTTATTCTTTTTACACTAGTTGCTTTAGGTGTAAGGATAGGTTGTTTATTTGAGATTTTTCTTGTTTCTTGAGATAAGATTGCATTGCTATAAACTTCCTTCTTAGAACTGCTTTTGTTATATCCCATAGGTTTTGGATTTTCATGTTTTCATTGTCTTTTAAATTTTACTTTTAGACAAATTACCCACAAGGTGCCTTTGAAGCATTCATGTGAAACAACACATTAGACAGTGGAGATCTGAAACTGACTCTCAGATACAATATTGATCCAGGCTAGAGATACAACATTGGAAGTCATTGGTTTATTATTGATAATAAGTTGAAGTTGTAACATAAATGAGATTACCTAAAATGGATATATAGCCAAGTACTCTTGAAATGCTTTCTTCCAGAAAATTTCTGTTGAGCTTTGTGGTCATAAGTTTAATGATTTATATGATTGCATTAGGAAGACTTAAAACAATAAATTTTTTTGAGTGTTTCCATCCACATGGATCCAGGAAAAAAAAATACAAATGCTTAAATTCAAAATCAAAGCAATTATACCAGAAGGGAAGAGAATTATAAAATATTTGGAACTTGCATGTATTCAATATCGTGCTTATTGAACTCTAATGGTCACGGAAACAAATAAGTTCTGCAAAATGTTAAAAACATGTATCAAGGTAGTTAGTGGTGAAGGTATGGGGGTTGGGGCATTCCAAGCAGAAGGAGAAGTGTGAGCAAAGTTATAAAAGATGAAATAGCCTAGCTCGTTCAGAGAACCATATCAAAATCAGTTCTATATGTGGTGAATCTATAGCTGAATTCAAGATGGGTTAGGAATACAGTAGGTACAAGTCAAACCAGTAGCCATAGTTCAAATTTGAAGCTTCATATAATATAATGAGGAGTTTGGATGTTGGCGATGGAGATTTGCCATTTCAGAAAGATTCTCTGACTTGGAATATGGAGGATAAATCAGAAATGAACCCAACTGAATCACATTTTAGTCATCAGACTCTCTTAGTGGTTTGAGGGAAAGTAATAAAAAATAAATGTTGTGTTAGATCTGGAAATGAAGAGAAACATCAGAGGTGTAGAAGCTTTTGGTTTACTCTGAACTAAACTTTTCCAGTGTTCCACAGCTAAGAAAACTATTGCTAATCTTAATGTACGTTAGCAGAAAGATCCTGCCATGTGACCAGTGATACTGATTCCCACTACATCCCCCTTCTCTGGTCACATCAGTGTCTCCTCCTGTGTAAAATCATTGATGTTAAGGAACAATGTACAATGACTAGTAAAAAATACGGTGAGGAAAGAGTAAGCCAAATGTCACGCCTTCTGGAAACTGAGTCATGTAAAAAACTGTTAAATGGTAACATTAACCAGCGCAATAAAAAAAATAGAAGTGTTGCAATGAAAATTAAGTATAAATGGTTTATTGAATACACCTGATTCAGTGCAAGTAGAAAAGCCTTTAGCCTGTCCTATGTTTCTCCTTCAAACCCAGTCATTGTCCATATGAGCCGTGCTGATCCAATGAAATCTGTTAGGCCCCTTAGTTTTTTGTTTTTTTTTTTTTTTGCAAGACAAATCTCAATTTAGTATTTAAGAGATAGTGTTCAGTATATAAAACATTTAATGTTCTCATCCAGTTTTAGCTTTTTCTAAGCTGGAAACTTCCCAGGTGGCACAATGGTAAAGAATCTATCTCCCGATGCAGGAGACATAAAAAGTGTGGGTTCAGTCCTTGGGCCAGGGAAAATCTCCTAGAGGAGGAAATGGCAACCTGCTCCAATATTCTTGCCTCAAAAATCCCATGGATTGAGGAGCCTGGTGGGCAACAGTCCGTGGGATAGCAGAGAGTCAGACACGACTGAGCATGCTGGGAACTCAGTGGGGCAAGGATCTTCTTGGGAGGCTTCTCCTATGTCCACCTCCTCCTCGCCTGAAACCAGCTGATCGTGGTCCCTGGGCTGAGGAGGCACCAGGAGAAGGGAGGTCCTGACTGACTGGCCCAGGAATAGTCTGTGGTTGGCTTGCTCTGATGGCAGATACAGACGGGGCTTTTGTGGTTCTCCTAAGGCCTTTGGCGGAAGCTCCTTGATGCCTCAAGCCCTGGCTTCTGGGTGTCCAAGGGTCACCATCTGTTAAGATTCCCTGTCTCCTCAGGCCCGCAGCTCTTCTGAGTCTGAACTTAAAGTGGCCATACATTTTAGTTCTGTAGGGTCTATATCTTATTCCCAGAAAATAAGTCCTTCTGTCTTAGTATCGGTGTAAGTGTAGCCTGCTCTTATCTCAACATTCTTTCTCTTTGCTTTGCTGTTTTGGGTTTTTTTTTTGGGGGGGGAGGGGGGTGATGTTTTAGGTCTTAGCCAAAAATAGCCCCTATGTCTGAGTCCCCTTGCAGAGCTGGAGGTGATGAGGGAAGCATCCTTACATCTCTACACAGAGATGAGAGAGATCCTTACAGCTCCGTGCCTTCCACCTGCTCCTCCACCATTTTTTATTTAGCTTGCAGACGGCTCATGAACCAGGGATAACAAAATCTCTTACTTACTGTTTTAGCAACCCAGACGATCCCCGATGTAGAAGTTGCTTTATGAAGTGGCAGTGTGCAGGGAAAGATTAAATTAGCCAAGATGGCATGGTCAGGCCCTCTTGCCCCACAGCCTCTTGCTCTTACCCCACCTTTTGTAAACAATGTTCATGTAATAACTCAAGTCACTTATAACACTGCACATGCGCATCATGAGGTACTTGCTTGGTCATGAGCTACGTTAGGGATATGAGAGCTCCACCTAGAAAGTGGCTGCATTTTACTGCTGCGTCATGGCTGTGTCCATTGGGTCAGCCACGAGAGGGGAGAATGTAAGGTGTCTGTTGTTACGGCTGCAGGGTCAGCAGGAGAGAGGCTGTGGCATGGCTGCTCTGCAGGCCAGGAGAGAATATACGTATCTGCAGTTCCCACCTCTTCTCTAGCCTCCTACCAACATCTTAGCTCACACCTTGCCTCCCCTGGGTTCAGCGAACACTGACACCAGCAAGACAATTTGTCGTCATGAGCAGGATCGGCGATGTAAGGTGTTTTACATCTCTGTAATGTTGTAAGACTTTGGGACCTCAAGAAAAATAAAGAATCCCATTATTATAGCCAGTGCGTGCTCAGTCGCTTCAGTCGTGTTTGAGTCTGTGCAACTCTATGAAATGTAGCCTACTAGGCTCCTCTGACCATGCGATTCTCCAGGCAAGAATACTGGAATGGGTTGCCATTCATAACATAATTAGACATGGCAGGAGCCAGATTTCAAGTTGCCTTTCTAACAGATAGTTTTGTTTTGTTTTTTTCCTTGAAAGAATAAACTGCATTAGGAAGTTGTGAGTTCTTTTTCACTGGACGTCCATTAGAGAAAGTTTCAGGAATGACCTATTAGTCAGTGCAATTGCCCAGAGCTGCACAGTTAGAAGGATCTGTGCTTGTTTGAATGCTCTGATGTCACCTTCTTGAAATCACTCATAATTTGTTAATAAGAGGCCCTGCATTTTCATTTTTCACTGGGCCCCACTAATTATGTAGCCAGACCCGATTAATATTGTTGTACTATGTGGGTTGGGAGACTAGAATCCAGATGATTGAGAAAACTCTGCCTTTAAATCTTATTAATCTGAAAACAATGTTAACTCCCAGGGCCATTGTTATATGTGTGTGTTTGCAAACTATTTAATATGCTTTATATTATGATATAAAATTAAGATGGAGTTACTTTTTCATTGATTTTGTAAGGTTTCTTAATTGTTTTATTTTTACTAGTAACTTTTATGATGCAATATTATATGATTAAAATGTGCTATGTGCAATATTCATGGATTACTATGAGCATTTGGTTTACTTAAACTCTGCAAAATTGAGAGGGCACAATTACATGTAGCAAAATAATCTCTAAAAGTTATTGCTACATTTCTAAATAATGATTTTGTATTCTGTTCATGTAAGCATCCTTATTGCTAGCAGAATTCTGATGCTTTTTCCCCATTTAATGGGATTCCATTGTAATTGACTTTTATTTTTATTCTTTTTTTTTTTGGAAGGGAAACATCTGGGAACAGATTTTACGAATACCCTTCATCTTGGAAATAATTAATGCAGTTCCCTTCATTATCTCAGTAAGTCCTAAAAGAATCTTTAAAAGAAATAATTGTGTTATTAGTCATAAGTAAAGTCTTTAAATCTAAATAGCAATAAATAATATATTAGCTCAGATGAATGAATTTAGGCTTTTGTTAATGTATTAAATCATGGTATTAGAAAATACATAGCAAAGTCAGTTATAACTGGATTATGAAATTAAGTGAACATTAATGAGATTTAGTTCAATAGCAAAATGAAATGCATTTTAGGAATATATACTCTAGAGGTACCATTTAAACGTGTTAATTTTATCTAAACAGATTAGAAATGAATCACTTCATTTCTTGTGTATATTGTAGAGTTTAAAGAAATAAAAGCCAAGTAAAACCAAGTATTTATAAAAGTTTCTCATGCTGAGAATATGTTTATCTTTAGTTTAAGCCATAGGATTTATTAAATCCAGTTCTCTGTTTGCTAAATGTGTTGCCAACAACTAAGACACCCAGCAGTCTGCTTCTTTATTGAAGTCTGTGGAGGACCAATTCCATGGTGATCCTGTTCAGCTACAGAACGTGCAACCAGCACTTTCTCATTGCAAAATTGGATCTTAATCTTTGATTATTTGATAAAGCTTTAGTAATGTCTGTTGGGAATATGCTAACACTTTTTATTTTGAATTTTATTTGAAAAATCATGACTATAAGTCAGCATGATCTGAAGCTGTTGCTCACTCTGACAGTTATTTTAATTTGAGTGATGTATCTAGAGGAGCAACTGGCTCCAGATTGAATGACAGGTTAATTAAATATAATTCCAATGGAATACAGTTCCCCAGTGTCACGTAAATGTTTGGATCTGAGAGAGTAACTACGTGATAGAAAAGTAAAGCACTGTCTCCTTACACCTACTTCTATCTCCAGTTCCAGAAAAGAAAAAGATGATATGTATTATAAGAGTCATACCAAAAGATTTAGTGATGGAATTAGCACAGTTATAGCTGATATCCCACGAGAGCTGATTATTTTCTTTCTGCTTCCACAATAACTTTGCAAAGAATTTTTCCTTAAGACAGACAAGAATGAAAGGATCCTGTCTGCCCCTTCATTTCAATAATCATATGAGTTTAGAGTATTTGCCACATGTTTTATATCATTATATTGTCTTTAATAACTTATTTTTGTTTTACTTTTCTTCTCAATCACGTAGATTTCTTGCTTGGAGATAAAAGTTTAGTTTTGATTTGTCTTCCAGATATTCTGGCCTTCCTTAAGAAATCTATTTGTCCCAGTTTTTCTAAACTGTTGGCTTGCCAAACATGCCTTGGAAAATATGATTGTAAGTATAAAATACAAGTGCAAAAACAAAAGTATTTTTCAATGCTCCATTATTTCTTACCTCACTAAAGTGATGTGTTGCATAGATGTCTAAGCCAATAGACCCTAAGTCTGTTTATATCCTAATGAGAATGAAAAATGGTGAAACGCCCTTATTGTCAAGTCTCTTCTTTTATAAGGCCCTATGCAAGGAGATCCAACCAGTCCATCCTGGAGGAGATCAGTCCTGGGTGTTCATTGGACGGACTGATGCTGAAGCTGAAACTCCAATACTTTGGCCACCTCATGCGAAGAGTTGACTCACTGGAAAAGACCCTGATGCTGGGAGGGATTGGGGGCAGGAGGAGAAGGGGACGACAGAGGATGAGATGGCTGGATGGCATCACCGACTCGATGGGCATGAGTTTGAGTAAACTCTGGGAGTTGGTGATGGACAGGGAGGCCTGGCGTGCTGCGATTCATGGGGTCTCAATGAGTCGGACACAACTGAGCGACTGAACTGACTGACTGACTGTCTGATGAAACAGTAAACAAAAATAATTCAGATAGTCTAAAGATCACCAAACCAAAGCTGACTGCTGTTTGTATGGTCAAACTTATTACCAATCTTCCGAAAACAGATAGCGTTTCCTTCTAAAGCAATCTCATTATGTATAACAGGACCCCTAGGTTTATGTATAACAGGACCCCTAGGTTTAAGGCTTCAGGAGGTAATGTTGTCAAACTGTAGGTAGTCTCACATTCCATAAAAATCTGTGGAGTTTTCTAAGGCTCTGTATTGGAGCTGGAAGGTCCTCATGTAAAGTCAACTTTTTAGGTTGGGTTCGGTTGGGAATAGGGAGGGAGAAGGGGAAGCAGGAAAAAAGAGATGCAGAACTCAGAGATGTACCACCATTGCATTTTGCCTAAGGCCAACTCTGTTCGAAAGGACTGATTTATAACTAGGACCAAAATATAATAGGCTTGGATACTTACGAGTGAGCTGATGTTTGCTACTTGCTATTCAGTCATTTATTCTTCCCTGGTGGCTCAGATGATAAAGAAGTTCCCTGCAGTGCAGAAGACCTGGGTTCTTTCCCTGGGTCGGGAAGATCCCCTGGAGAAGGGCATGGCAACTGACTCCAGTATTCCTGTCTAGAGAATTCCATGGACAGAGGAGCCTGGCTGGCAGTCCATGAGGTTGCAAAGAGTCAGACATGAATGAGACAGGAACACTTTCACACTTTCACTTCTTTCATTTATTCTACAAGTATTAATATGAGTCTGCTCTCAGCTATGCACTCTGATAAAATAAGCAAGTGATTTAACACCTTTGCTAATGTCTTCATTTTAAAAGAGAATAAAACTACCAACATACAGGCTTGCTGTGAGAATTGAGTTACATTATATATCCATTCATATATGTGTAAAATTCTTGTATCTAGCATAAACATAGTAAGAGCTCAATATTATTAATTTGATCACACTGAAATTAAGTTTGCTTGGAGGCGAACTTGTTTTTCTTTTAAATAGCTTTTTAACAGAAAATATGGCAGTAGTTTTGGCCAAAAGGAATATTTGGATAGCATTTGAGTATTTATGACCAGGTGAAAGTTTCTGATCAGCTCTCAATATATTAAGTGACCACGGGAGTCTCATGCAAGTTCACAGCTAATAAGGGGAGCGGCATATGGCCTGTGGATGGTTTACAAAAACATCCTGCTCTCTTAGCTGTCCAAAAAAATATTATTTCACTATCTATAGACTGCCTAAATTGTTAATGAAAAAAAAAAAAATCCTCCAGTACTCTTTGCTAATTTGTGTTTATTAGTTGCTGGAAAATGTAACCTAACCAAGAAAGGAATCATTAGTCAATCATTGAGAGTAAAAGTAGTGCTTTGCATTATTAATTTAGGATTCATTTTCTATCATAATTCTATATTTTACTTCTTTTTTCCCTGATTGCTAAATTTTAATTTGTTTTTCTGTTCATTAACACCTCTGTTAGAAGAAAGTAAAGAATGCAAGGTGAAGTTTTAATTAACTTAGTTTTTTTGTTTTCATAACAAAAGTTCTGGTTAAATGTGTGGTAGAAAAAGATAAAATAATGGCTCATTGAGGTTTTATTTTGTATTGAAAGTGAAAGTGGCTCAGTCGTGTCTGACTTTGTGACCACATGGACTGTAGCCCATTAGGCTCCTCTGTCCATGGAATTCTCCAGGCAAGAATACTGGAGTGGGTAACCGTTCCCTTCTCCAGAGTATCTTCTCAACCCAGGAATCGAACCAGGGTCTCCTGCATTACAGACAGATTCTTTACCAGCTGAACTACCTATTTATCTCATGTAGTACAGTTATTCACACTGTTAAAAAATTATTATGAAAATTTATAAAACAGAAGACTATAAAGTAAAACATTATGTACAACTACAAATCTTCCACACAGGCTAGACACTAGTAATAATTTATATCCTTCTAATATTTTCTATAAAAGCACACACACACGAAATTGTATGTTTAATTTTATGATTTGAATTTTTGTCGAATACAAGTTCCTATGTCAATAAATATTTATGTTCAAACCATTTTTAATGGATGCATGTAAGTCTGCTATCTAATTTTAATCAATTTATTCAACCATTTTCCATTTCATTTTTAGTTATTTTAATAGGAATGAATATTAATATTATAATTTTATCATAATGATTATACAAAATATATAACAATGGATACAAATAAATAATATACAAAATAATGTAATATACATCATACAATATAGATATTATACAATGTTATTTATATCTATATTTTATACAATAAATACTATACAAAATATAGGAAATATTATAATTTTTTAATGAAGATGACCATACATGAATATTCAACTTCCATCTCATAGTTTTCATGTGGTTAACTTTTAGAAATTATATTATGGTATAAATACTAATTAAATGTTGAATGCATGAACTGGAAAGGGCATACTTGTGAATTTTGACCTGTATTACCAAATTACTTTCAAGATATTTGTAACAAATTACTTGAGCAGTATTACATATGTGTGCTCATTTTTTTCCTCTTAAATGACAGTAGGTATTATTATTTTTTAATGTTTTTTCAATTGCAAAGTAAACTCGTATCTTGAATTCACATTTCTCTTAATATGAATGAAATTTATCTCAATGTGTTCATTGGCTATATAATTTTTTATTTTTATGATAAACTGCCTGGTATAATACATGCTATTTTTTCTGATATAGAGACTGAGATATGGTTGTAGTTTGATCCAGCTATTAATTTCCCCTCAGTTGAACATATTATTTTCTGATCTTTTAAAATTAGAAATTTCCATAAAACAGCATTCTCTTCAGGGAGGGCTTTTGGAGAGTCATTGAACATCTCTTTGTAAGGCGAGTAAACTAAAATTTAGTGCTTTTGTCATGTCCCATAGTATTTAATATTATCTTGGTAATATGAATGTTATAGTGAGGTTTAATTAGACCTAGGAAAAACCAAAAATATGCTGCTCTATGCATTTAAAGTATGTGTGTTGAGTATGAACAAGACAGTTAAAATGTAATACATAATAACAAATGTAACAAAACTCGTGATTATTGAGTATCTATCAAAATTTAAGATATGCTTTTTCTGTATTATTTCAGAATGATCTACACAGAGCCATTCAACGTACACAGTCTGCAATGTTTAATCAAGTTTTGATTTTAATATCTACATTACTATGCCTTATCTTCACCTGGTAAGACTGTACATCAGCATTTTCATTAAGTTTCATTTTAATTATAATACTAAAAAAACAGTATTATAAACCATTTAAGCTAAGAGCTGGCAATAAAGATGAATAGATAAATATTTACTATAAAACATAATGGGTCACTGACAGAAACAAAAATAAAATCTTTACTTCAGTCTTACAGAAAAAAAATCAAGAAAGGGCATCGATTATTTGGAGTTGATATTTACTGCAACTCTGAGGTTTCACAAATGCTGTAAACAACCAGATCACAAGAATTTGTATTGCATGCCATAGTTGTCAAACAAGAATTTTTCCTTCAAATTGCTGACATGAAGATGCCCTTATCTGTCTGTAATCTTCAAAGCAGAACTGCTGTTGAGAACATTGTCACTGCCCATCACTCTCTGCCTGCATCTTCTCCCCTGATGGTCTAACATGCAGCCAGGCAGAAAGCCAGGGCAGACCTGACAGTGTGAAGCAACTGGTACCTTGCTTTGTTATAGAAAACAGCTATTTCTTCCTGTGGAAAGTCCCACTTTGCCAATTATACAGTAATCCAATGAGAAATGATACACTTCCTATATGGATCCATTAAGATCCTAACTAAAGAAAAAAAAAGAAATGTGAAAATCAGAAAATGAGGTAGAATGATATATCTGTTTTTCAACTTCATTATGTATAATTGTGCTCTGACCTGAATTTGACCTACTGAGAAAGAGAAATTAGGAAGTCCTCAAGTAGGAAGAATGCCCTCATCACTAGCATTATGCAATTTTTAGATGTAAATACAGCTACAGATACATGTATGTAAATATAGTTTTAGATATAGAAATATAATGTATGCTTAAGTAGTATGTAATTAATGTCACTATTAAATAGATTTAAAATGTCTTATTGCTTACTTTTATATTTAAAAAGTAAGCATTTTAGGATATTCTACATTGTTAAATATAAAATATCCCTTTAAAATGGACACAATACCATCTTATCTTTTTTTTTACTCTGAACAGATTGCTTTTATTATTCACCTAGTAAATAACTGCATACATTTGAAATACTGACAGCAAGTGCCTTCTCAAGTCACAAAAGTGTTCTTAATTTTAAGATAATTACATTTTTAAAATAATTTAGGAGCTTTCTCCTTTTATTGGACTTGAGAAAAAGTACTTACAACTAAAATTTATATATATATATGCTGATTTCTCAATTGCTGGAAAATGACCAAGAGTAAAATGAATGAGTTATAAATGTTATACATAATCTGTTAAAGTAAATTTGGTAAAGGGATAATTGAAATTTTAATGCTAAAACAAGTACAGATGATTTAAATATAATAACAAGTCCAGTACTTTGGTTTGGACTGTGCTCATCACAGTGAACTACCTACAGTGGGGCTCTTACTTTCTGCCTCTACATCTATTTCTTGAGCACTTTTTATTTTTGTAGGAAGTGACTACACAAATTTTGCCACTTTCCTATGCCAAGGGGTGCAACAGTGTTTGATAAAAGGTTTTCATGATCTATGTGAAATTTCCATTATGCAACTTGTTAATCTTTTAAATCATTTATGTTTCACTTTTTGTTATATTTATAATTATAGTTACTTTTTTTGTTGTGTGTATATATTGTTAAATTTCAGACACTTGAGTGGTAGTTTTTACAAATATAGTCTATAGTTAAAGCTGTCAACAATAAGTGGATTTGAACCTGTCTTTCAGTGTGGAATTTGTGTATAGAGTTATTTCTAACTACATAAAATATTATTGTTTTTAATCACATGCACATCAATACAATTACATTAATATGTTTTAAATTATAATATCTGAGATAGAGAAATTGCCATTTGATTTATTTGTGTATTGTCTTGCTTTACAAGCAAATGTCTTTATAAACCATGATCGTCATAGTAAGGTAGAATAAGTCTTATTTGAATTCACCATAGATGATGGGGTTACTTACAAGAAAAAATATTAAAAAATGTTGCATTAGTCATGATACATTATCAGGCTATTTTACCACAGTTATGCCACACATATTATAAAATAAAAGTACACACAAAGATATAAGAACTTATACAAATAGAAACATCTATGTAGTCTGTCCAAGATTGTTACATCAGCTTAATACGCTGGAGATAAAGTTTCCTTATATCTTGTTTTCTGTCATTATAAAAACAGTTTCCATGGTTCAGTATGGCTGCTTTGGTCTTGCCATTGCATCCTAACTCCAACCTTTTCTCTTAGGAGAAAAGGATATAAGGTACTACAAGAAACTGCATGCATAATTTCAGCTAGAATTTGGTCATATACCTACACATAGCTGCAGGAGATCTGCAAAAATGTAGCCTAACTGTGCAATATACCCAGTTGAATATTATACCATGAAAAGGAAAATGGGATATTGTGGAACAATAAGCAATGATGAGTCACAAAATGCTTATTGTTTGTTTAAAACTCAGGACTATACTAATTGGGAGGTCTTGGACAGCTTATTTATTTAGTCTTGTTTTCCACATCATTAAGTGAATGTAATACTCATCGCCTTATAATATTTTTGCTTTTTGTTTTTTAAATGAGGGTTGAATTGGGTGTGTTTATAAAATGTATATGAGGGCATGGTAAATTGTGATAACTCTTTAAAAATTTTAATTTCATTTTTTTAATGCAAAATGATTTAATTATGTGAACTCAAAAATGAGATTTACTTTAAAATGTCTAAGCATAGTAATTTATTAATAATACTATAAAACTGAATCAGGATACATAAAAATGATTCTAGGCAGCAGACAGAAAGAACTGGTTACTTTTTCTCTTCCAGTTTTATTGGGAAATAATTTATATACAGCACTGTACAAAGGTAGCATGTACAGGATAATGTTTGCTTATATATAGCAGGAAATATTTACCATGGTAAGTTTAGTGAATGTCTATCATCATTTATAAATATCAAATAAAATAAAAAGTTTCCTTGTGATAACTCAGAATTTATTCACTTAACAATTTTCCTGTATAACAGAGCAGTGTTAATTATATTAATCCAGCTTTACATTACATCCATGGTAGTTATTTAGCTTACAACTGAAAGTTTGTACCGTTTGACCCTTATCATCATTATATAAAGATACTACATTATTATTTATTATATTCCACATACTTTAATTTTCACTCACTTATTTGTAACTGTAAGTTTGTACCTCTTAATTGTGGATGTGACTGGTGATGGAAGTAAAGTCCAGTGATTTAAAAAACAATATTGCATAGGAACCTGGAATGTTAGGTCCATGAATCAAGGGAAATTAGAAGTGGTCAAACAGGAGATGGCAAGAGTGAACATCGACATTTCAGGAATCAGTGAGCTAAAATGGACTGAAATGAGGGCATTTAATTCAGAAGACCATTATATCTACTACTGTAGGCAAGAATCCCTTAGAAGAAATGGAGTAGCCCTCATAGTCAACAAAAGAGTCCAAAATTCAGTATTTGGGTGCAGTCTCAAAAACAACAGAATGACCTCTGTTCATTTCCAAGGCAAGGCATTCAATAGCACAGTAATCCAAGTCTATGTCCCAGCTAATGCTGAAGGGGCTGAAGTTGAATGGTGATGTCAAGACCTACAAGACATTCTAGAACTAACACTCCAAACCCCCAAAAGAGATGTCCTTTTCATCATAAGGGACAGGAATGAAAAAATAGGAAGTCAAGAGTAACAGGCAAATTTGGGCTTGGAGTACAAAATGAAGCAGGGCAAAGTCTAACAGAGTTTTGCCAAGAGAACCCACTGGTCATAGCAAACACTCTCTTCCAGAAAAACAAGAGATGACTCTACACATAGACATCACCACATGGTCAATATAAAAATCAGATTGATTATATTCTTTGCAGCCGAAGATAGAGAAGCTTTATACAGTCTTAGAAAAACAAGACTGGGAGCTGACTATGGCTCAGATCATAACTCCTTATTGCCAAATTCAGACTTAAATTGAAGAAGTAGGGAAAACCACTAGACCATTCAAGTATGACCTAAATCAAATACCTTACAGTAGAAGTGACAAACAGATTCAAGGGATTAGATCTGATAGACAGACTGCCTGAAGAATATGGATGGAGTTTCATGACATTGTACAGGAGGCAGTGATCAAGACCTTCTCCAAAAAAAACAAATACAAAAAGGCAAAATGGTTGTCTGAGGATGCCTTACAAATAGCTGAGAAAAGAAAAAAAAAAATGAAAAGCAAGGGAGAAAAGGAAAGGTATGCCCATCTGAATGCAGAGTTCCAAAGAATAGCCAGGAGATGTAAGAAAGCCTTCCTAAATGACCAGTGCAAAGAAACAGAGGAAAAGAATAGAATGGGAAAGCCTAGAGTTACCTTCAAGAGAATTAGAGATACCAAGGAAATACTTCATGCAAGATGGGCACAGTAAAGGACAGAAATGGTAGGGACCTAACAGAAGCAGAAGATATTAAGAAGAGGTGGCAAGAATACACAGAAAAACTGTACAAAAAAGATCTTCATGACCCAGATAATCACGATGGTGTAATACCTCACCTAGAGCCAGCCATCCTGGAATGTCAAGTCAAGTGGGCCTTAGGAAGCATCACTACGAACAAAGCTAGTGGAACAAAGCTAGTGATGGAATTCCAGTTGCGCTATTTCAAATCCTGAAAGATGATGCTGTGAAAGTGCTGCACTCAATATGCCAGCAAATTTGGAAAACTCAGCAGTGGCCACAAGACTGGAAAAGGTCAGTTTTCATTCCAATCCCCCAAAAAAGAAATGCCAAAGAATGTTCAAACTACCTCACAGTTGTACTCATCTCACACACTAGCAAAGTAATGCTCAGAATTCTCCAACTCAAATAGGGAAGGGAGTTCGTCAAGGCTGCATATTGTCAACCTGCTTATTTAACTTATATGCAGAGTACATCATGTGAAATGCTGGGCTGGATGAAGTGCAAGCTGGAATTAAAATTGCCAGGAGAAATATCAATAACCTGATATTATTC